TTTTTTTTTTTTTTTTTTTTAGATAACAGCATTTCTGCTCAGGTTTTAGATGCTGTCATTGCTAGTGTGTGGAGGCCAGAGGACAACTTGTCAGTCTGTTCTCTCCTTCTACCATGTGGGGCCTGGGGATCGAACTCAGGTTGTCAGAATTGGTGTCAAGGGTCTTTTCTTACTGAGCTATCTCAATGGCCTGAACTTCTTTTTAAAAATTTATTTTATTTTTAATTATGTGTCTGTGTGGAAGTATGTGCACATGAATGCAGGTACCCTTGGAAGCCAGAAATATCAGACTCCCTGGAGCTAAAGTGACAGACTCCCTGGAGCTGGAGTTATGGGCAGTTGTGAGCTGCTTGACATGGGTGCTGGGAACCAAACTTGGGTTCTCAGCAAGAGCTGCACATGTTCTTGGCAGCTGAGCCATCTCTCACGCTCTCCTTTTAAACTTTATTTTGTATTAATTTCTTCTTCTTGTAAAACCATCATTCCTGTTCTCTCCTTCCTTCTCCCCCCTCTCTTTCTAAGATTTACTTCTATTGTATGTGTCTAGATGTTAGCCTATGTGTATGTCTGTGTACTTCTTTGTGCCTGGTACTCACAGAGGCCAGAAGTGAGCATTGGATATCCTGGAGCTGGAGTTACAGATGGTGGTTAGCTGCCATGTGGGTTCTGGGAACTGAATCCAGATCAAGCTCACTGGCTGGAAACAAGAGCAGCAAAGCTCTTAACTTCTCTAGTCCCTCACTCTCATTTTTTATGAGTCTCTGGCTTGAAGCTTCCCCAGACAGGTTGCTGTCAGTCAGCTCTCCAGCCCCCCCGAAGGGGAAGGGAGACACAGAGTCTATCTGGCTGGGGTCATGACTACAGGCCTACTAGCCCCTTCTGGTGTAGCTAATGAGGCATCCAGACCCTAGGTAGGGAAGGCAGAGGTTTGTTTTTGTTTTTCAAGACAGTGTTTCTCTGTGTAGCCTTGGCTATCCTGTAACTCGATCTGTAGACCAGGCCAGCCTTGAACTCGGAGGCTTGCCTCTGTCTCCTGCCTGCTGAGATTAAAAGTGTGCACCATCACCAAGAAAGTGGAAGTTTGGGTAGTTGAAGCTTGGTGATGGATGGAATCCTCTAGCTCCCTCTTTCTGCAGATGGCTGTAAATGCAATTCTACAGCTGCTCAGCCTGTCAGTGAATGTTGCTCTCCACAGATGCATTCCTGTTTATTAGAAAAAATAAAAGAATATAGACTTAGACATCTTCCCACCGTCATCATAAGGACACAGGTACCAGAACTGCAGAGTCAGGAGCTTTGCGTGCTCTACCGCCATTTGTGTCCAGCTGGGTTCTGGGCTGCAGGGTTGGAGATGTCCTTTACAAAGGTTTCCCATAGGCCAGCATGCAGACAGTCAGAGGCAGAGATTGACATGGCCACGCCTCTTTTCTGAGCATCCATCTTGAGTTTTCCCTCTCTTTAGCCCCCCCCTTTTTCTATCACCCAAGAAGGGAGAATTGCCTTGGTGATTTTCAAGGCCTCTCCTTATGATGAAGGAGGTGAGCTTGAGACCCAGGGGAGCCAGGGGTGTAGATCTGCTCCAAGACTGAAGGTCTGGGAACCAGGAGAGGTGCTGTGTAATCCAAGGTCTGGGAGTCAGGACAGCTGGAGTATAAGTTCTATGCCCCAAGCCTGAGGCAGGCAGGCAGGCGGGAGGGAGGGAGGTGGACTTGCTTACTTTAGTCAGACCTTCAGCTGACTGGCTGAGACCCACCCACAGGAGGAAGACAATGTGCTATGTTCAGTTGGCAGATTTAAATGTCAACCCATCCAAAATGCCCTTAGATGAATGCCAGGGATAATGTCCACCAAACATCTGGGCACCTGAGGGCGCATTTAAGTTGGTACAAGAATGTCACCTGTCACTTCTGAAGTCCAGATACTGAATATCAAGGTATCAGTGGGTGGTTCCTCTAAGACTTAGAGTGAGAAGATCACCCTGGGCCTGTCTCCTGTGTGTTTGGACTCACTGGTTGTCTTGAGTTCTAGACACACCTCTGTCTCCACACTTTCTTTTTAGAGCATTCTGAAGGCCCCCACCTTGGAGGGTGTTACTTTCACCAGACAAGACATTTGTATTTCATGCTGTCTGAGACAGAACAGGATAGATTATTCAGAGTAGGCTGGACATGAGGCTGGTCTATGGTCTGTCTAGGTGAGAAAGAGGGGGTGTGGTGGGGGAACCTATATATACCAGGATGTCTTAGGAGAAAAACTGTAGGTGGTCAGGCAGGGCCATATTCAGAGGATCTTGGAAACCAGTGAGGAGTCTCTGAGAAGGGAAAAATCATCAAATTAGCTTTCTAGGAAGATCTGTGGCAAGTTTGAGCTTGTATTGAAGAGGAGAAGCAAGCTTGAGACTCCTGTAGTAGTTCAGGCAAGAAATTGTGTTGGAGGGGAGGAGGGACCTAATGGAAGACACTGGTGAGGTGGGTGCAGCTAACGTGGTGGAGAGGCTTGGAATGGGCTACTGCGGTGTACAAAACACCATAGGCAGAATCCCAGCTTCCCACCCTTAACCTCATTGTGTCTATCTGAGATACCTGCAGTGCTTACTAGCTCCCAGTAGATGGCAGGCAAGGAATTGAAGAAGGCACCTCTGTCTAATTTGCATAGTTCTCATGCTGACCAGGTCAGAAGCCTTGAGTCATCTCCAATGGCCCATGGATTTTATTTTGAAGGACAGGGCTTGAAGACATCCTGTTCTGACTCTAGACAGTACCAAGGGGACAGAGTAGGTGACAGCCAGATGATGTTGGGACCCTTTCTCTCCACCTGAACATCATTCATTAAAGCAGTTTATAAAACAAAGGGGCTGGGACTAGGGCGTCCCTGGTTAAGGTAGGAGGAGGGGAAGTGTCCTCTGGGCTGGACATCCTGACGGTTTGGAGGAATTGATTTTCATTCTTGGTGTCCCAGACAGATGACTCTATCAAGGCTTCCTGGGGTTCTGTCTTGTAGGCAAAGAAGAGTCTCACCTTCCAGCTGGAGCACAGGCTTCCTGCTCCGCTTTCTTGTTTATCTATATTTTATTTTTACAAATCTCGATACTGGTTTCTGTAGTTCCTGTACAAGTTTAAACTCACACCACATTTTGTTGATGAAAGTCACTCTGATTGGGGCAGTAAGGATTCTCGAGACACTTTCAGTGATTATTTTCCTAATGGCTGAGGATGCTGACGGCTGAGGATGCTGAACACATTTTCCGTAGTGATGGGCCATTCAAGTTTCCTGTTTTGAGAAGATGTGTTCTTTTCAGCAGCGTATTTGTTCACGGGATGATTGTGTTTCTGGGGCTTTTCTGCTGAGCCGCCCCTCCCCAAATCATGTTCCTCAAGTAGCCTGCAGAGGGCACTGTTGCACGCTGGCAGTTTGGACCTCTATGAAGTCTGAACTGTCAATGTTCAGCTGATTTTTATCTTTTCAGCTCTTTACAATGTATCTCCCACTTTGTGGTTAGAGGTTTGATGGTAACCCATCAGAGCCAAGGTTTACAGCAGCAGACTCGCTGGCTGCAGACTTGAGCTGCCATTCCTAATGTTCCAGCCTCTCACAACTTGACCTGCAGTGTTGCGCTCCCAAACATTGCCCTCTGCATGGTGACACACTAGTGACTTCCAAAAACTATGTGTAACTGTCCATCTTTGGTTCTCTTGTCTCCGACAAGGAGTCACTGTTTCCAGTCTGTGTTACACTGTCTATAAAGCACTGGTGATAATGACCAACCAGGGGTCCCTTCAAATACCATGTCAGAGGCACCTGTCCCCTGTCTCCACATCTGGAATCAGGATAGAATGGAGGTTAAAGAACAAGCGATAGTTAGACAATCCTGGGTTCCTAACCCAGCTCTGAACATTTACTAGCTGCATGGCTGCTCGCGCGTGCACACACACACACACACACACACACACACACACACAGAGGCACACACACACACACACGCGCACACACACACACACACACACACACACACGCACAGGCACAGGCACACATATACAATTTCAAATCTAGATTCCTTAGGTGAAAGAACATGATGTAACGTTCGTCTCTCCAAGTCTTGCTTATTTCAATCTCTGGTTCCATCCATTTCCCTGAGAATGTCATGATTTCATTTTTATTCACAGCTGGATAAAATTCCACCGTGCGTATGGGCCACATTATCTTTATCTAGCCATCTGGTGATGCACACCTAGGTTGGCTCTGTTTCTTGAGTAGGGCAGTGATGAACATGAATGAGCAGGTTCCTTGTGTGTTGTTGTGTGTGTTTACCTAGTGGCAAAGCTGGGTCATGTGATAGTTCTATTTTTAGCTTTTTAAAAACATGTGTTTATTTAAGATGGGAGAAGGGACTGGCCACAGCACCTGTGACAGTCAGGACAACTTGCAGGGGTTGCTTCTCACCTTCCAAAAGGCAGTGGTTAAACACCACAAAGTCAATGGCAATGCCTTACTGGTGCATGTTATTAGGCCTAAGGGCCTCATCCATCCTCCTGAAGGAGTGTGCTCAGTATCTACTCCCCTTTCACACAACACAAATTTTTGATTTTTTCCCCCAGAAACTTCCATATTGACTTCTATAATGGTTACATAAGTTTACATTACAATGAGCTGTGTAAGTTTGTACAATTTGCTTAACATCTCTGAACTACTGTCTCATTTGTACACAGGAGTCTGTGATTTTTACTATTTCATTGAAGTACCTCGATAGACTGACCATTGTAATACACAGCATCTGCTTGGTTACAGTGACCTTTATGCCCAGCTATCTGAAGTCCCTTGTGAGCTCACCTTGCCACCCCTAGCACCGGTAGCCCTCTCTCTTCTCAGGGTCCTCTGTATTCCCCACTCCCTGGCTTTAGGTGAGAGTGAATATCTCAGCTCCCTGCTCTGCCAGCTCCAGAGAGAGGGAGATCCAGCTACATGGCCCTGCAAGCTGCTGCCTGCTCTGGTAGTGTACAACCTTTCACTATTGTCCCCTTTCTGTGATAATATTCCAAGTGGCCAGTGCACAGCCTTCAGTTCTTCCATAGCTTCTTTTTAGGACGCCTTTGGGGGAACTTGAAGCAAGACAAGTGACACGAACCCCTAGCTTGGCATTCATCCTGTTAGTGACTTCACATCTATTAGAAAGGGTGCTGCTTCCTGTTTTGGGAAGTCGCAGCTCTGGCTGACAGTGTGTGTGCGTGTGCATGTGCATGTGTGTGTGTCCCCACTGCATAGGAGCTCCCAGCAGCCTGCTGTCCTGGGATGTGCAACTGGCCTGACATTCAGAGGGAAGATCCTGAAAGACATCCTTTGGCCCTGCAAGAGCAGGAGGCTTGGAAGGGGCTGGTGGCAGCCTCTCCTCACATTGTGAGGCATTCACAGGAGATACTTGGGCCAAAAGGACTTAACTTGATGGACTGGCCCTCCTCCTCAGAGTGTGGTGGTTTCTCACTAGCAGCTTCTTCCCCCAAGGGGACCACAGTGAGGGTCTAGAGCCAAGTCACTACGAGAGGGATGAATTTACGAATGAATGCATTGTTAGGTCATTTGTTTGTCAGATGGTCTATGTAGCTCAGGCTGGTCTCAAATGTTCTGTGTAGCCAAAGGTGATGCAGAACTAAACCCAAGGCTTTTTGCATGTTAGGTAAGCTCTCTGCCCACTGAATTTTGTATGCAGCCCCTCTATGAGATAATACTTATAGCCTATCTGGTCTAGGTGCTGAGGCTTATGGTGTATCAGGTGAGAAGGAATAAGACTGTTTCTTGGTCTCAGTGGGATTGTGAGATCCTGTGGGGAACTGGTCCAGGTGAATAACCCCGCGGCTCCCCACCTGGAGGGGAAGGTAGCTTTATATGAAGCCAAATACATGGAAGAGTTATTGAGACAGTCAGTTATTCCAGCCATCAGAGGACAAGGCTAAGAATATTGGAAGTTTGATGTCAGCCTGGTTGATAGAGCAAAAACAAACCCAGAACTCATATAGAAGACCAGGGAGAGTAAGAGGCATCAGGGCCCCCCTGGACAGGACACTTGAGTGATCTGTAGCAACGTCAGAATGATAGAGAGTTTAGGAGACAGTGCAAATGCCAATAAGCATTGGTGGGAGTGGGGTATCCATGGGCTTGTAGATGTCTGTCCACGGAGAAGGGGAGCTCTTAGCCAACTAGTCACTTTGTGGGGCAAACTTGCTTATGGGGAGGGAAGGGAGGCAGGGGAGTGGGGAAGGACAAGAGGGTGGGATTGGGAAGGGCATACACAGGTGCTCTGATCCTTAGCCACTGTTTGATAAAAGGCACCTACTGACCATGGAGCAGCTGCTCGCCCAGGAGCTTCTGGATCATTCTCCTGTGTGCACCTCCCATCTCACCATACGGATGGGGAGGTTACAACACTCACCTGTACTCTCACTTTCTGTGCATTCTGGGTTGTCAGGCTTTGGTGGCAAGTGCCTTTACCCACTGAACCACGTGGTGTCACTTTCTGAGATACCTCTTTCCTTGTGAGGTGGTGAGTCCCCTTGTCAGGCTCTCTTTACCGGAAACACCTCTGGTATCCACTGCTGGGAACCCTCTCCTCTCTCTTCACCATCTGGCTCAGCCATTTCTTTGGGAGCCCAGTCCCTGTTATTGAGGAATAGTGAAACTCTCTATGATGGTCTGAATGAAAATGATCCCAACAGGCTCATATGGAGTGGCACTATTAGGAGGTATAGCGTTGTCAGAGTGAGTATGACCTTGTTGGAGGAAATGTGACACTGAGGGTGGACTTTGTGGTTTCAAATGCTCAAGCCAGGCCCAGTGTCACTCTCTCTTTTCCTGATGGCTACCAATCCAGATATAAAACTCTTGGCTGCTTCTCCAGCACTGTGTCTTCCTGTGTGTTGACATGCTTCCTGCCATGATGTCAATGGACTGAATCTCTGAACCTGTAAGCCAGTCCCAATGAAATGCTTTCCTTTCTAAGAGTTGCCATGCTCATGGTGTCTCTTCATAGCAGTGAAACCCTAACTAAGACATCTATGATGAGCATGAATAAGGTAAAGTCATTGTCCACTACTAACCCCTAGTGCCTGTGAATTTGGACATCTATGGGAAAAAAACATATTGGGTTGCTAATAAGCTGATTTAAAAATGGGAATATTTCCCTGAGTTTTCTGGCTGTGCCCAACATGTATTGAAAGTCTTTAAAATGGAAGAGAGAAGGAAGAAGTAGTCACATGGAGGCATGGGAAAGACTTGCTTTAACGATGGAGAAGGGGTGAAGCCAGGCTCCAGATGCTGGACAACCAAGGAAAGAGTCCACTCACTCCAGCATGCCAGGTACCAGCAGGAACCCAACTCTGTCAGATCCTTGGGCTTAGTCCAGTGGGTCATGTCTTGGACTTCTGAGCCCCAAAACTGTATGATAATAAATGTGTTTTGCTTTAAGCCATTGGTTGTCAGTTGTTATACCAGCCACAGAAAGCCAAGGTAACTCGGTAGTGTATGAGGCTTCTGTCTTGAGGGGAAAGAGTAATCCACATGGGTCTCAGATGGGGATGTCTGTTGCTGAGTTTTTAGGATGTTGGTTCAAGGTTTAGCTGACACACAGCAATCACCAGCATCCAGAGCCAAGTCAGGGCAAAGGCTGGCCTCTGTTTCCTTCCACAGTGGATTCTTTTCTAGATTCTCTGCCTTCATAGACCACAGAAACAGGACACTTTGATTTACTTGACACATCTGCCTTTCTTCCTGCCCTCCCTGCATCTTTATTGCTTCACTTCTCCCTTCCCGTCTTCTTCCCTCTACTTCCCATACCCCTCCCCTCCCTTCCCCTCTCCCTTTCCCTCCTCTTCCTCTTCTCTTCCCCTCTCATTTCCTTCCCCTCTACTTCCCTCTCTTTCCCTTCCCCTCCCCTTTCACTTCCCTTTCCCTCTCTCCTCCCTTCCTTTCCTTCCTTCCCTTCATCTCCCTCTCCCTCTTCCCTTCCCCATTTACTTCCTTCCCCCTTTCCCTTCTTCTTTCCCCTTCCCTTTTCCTCTCCCTTCCCTTCCCTCTTCACATCCATTCCCCCTCCCATCCCTTCCTCTCTGTCTTCCTCTCCCTATGATCTTCCCTTCCCTCCCCTCCCCTCCCCGTCCCTTCCTTTCCTTTTCCTTCCCTTCCCTTTTCCTTCCTCTCTCTGTCCTTCCTTTCTCCTTTTAAGACAGGGTTGAGTTCAAGCCACCTTCTCACTGTGTAGCCCAGGCTCTGGCCTCAAACTCACCATTCCCCTCCCTGCCTCAGCCTATCAGGTGTTGGGATGCAGGCATGCATTTTCACACCAGACTTTGTATCTCCTTTCTTGTCCTTTCATTCCCTGGCTGCTCTTCTGTTAACTATTTTATACCCCCAACATGAGTTTCCTGACTCTATTCAAGCCTGACACTTTCTGGGGAGTCCTGACATTTGCACTCATGCTGCCCAAAACTCAGGTCTACAAAACACTTATGTGTCAGGCACAGCAACCCAGTCAGCCAGGGTAGAGACACGTCAGTATCATGGCGACAAGAAGGCTGCTGTGCATTCTTCCCCATTCCCTATATGTCTTCCAGGTTCCCTCCATAGTGTAAAATCTTAATTTCTGTTTGTCTTTGGAGCACTCAGGGCATTTGAAATAAAGAAAGAGAAGACTAGCCATTGTGTTCCCTAGGGGATTCTGCTGTGAGCTGTCAGCAATTCTGCTTGGTAGCAAGAAACAGTGACCCTGCCTTGAGGTCATGCTCCCCAAGGCCTTGCAGCTTACCCCAGGGTCAGCAAGACTCCACAGCAGTAATCATGGCCCCTTGTTTGAATGAAGGTCAGAGTCATGACACCATTTTGCATTAGGTAGTATAAAGTTTGTTTATTGACACTGTTCGCTGCTTTGGGGACTGGAGAGATGGCTCAGCAGGAAGAGAAGCCGGAGAAGTAAAGGCACCTTCCCATTAAAGCCCAGTTTCTCTGTAAGTAAATCTGAGTGGAGGGGAGGAAGCATCTAATTAGAATTATAGCAACATCCCCAGCCTGCTCCCGCTTTGTGCTGTATTGTTCAGACTGATTTTATTTTTCAAATTGCCAGTTTAAAAAGACATCACTTGAAAGGTACACAAAGATCAGCCCTCAATCTTCAATTTTGGCTCCAGTCTCACTGTAAGGGAGTATCCATTGCCAGTGAGTTTTTTTTTCCTCTCAGTCTGCTGCAGCCATGTTAAAAATCCACTTGGGTAGGGAATACATATTCAGGTTTGTGTGAAGAAAAACTAAAATGACTAAGTGCAGCGCAAACCATTTAGAGAGAGGTGGAGCTGGTACAGAAGGAGGGAATCTGGTTACCTGCTGTTCGTTACAGTGTAGCAGATCACAGGTCTCCTGCAAAAATGCCTGCCATGCACACGTCAGGATGCTTGAACCCTAAGTCATACATGTGCTTGCTGTGTAAGTGTGAGGCCTCACTTGTCATGAGCAGCATGTGTCCTCTGTAACCCTAGTGTTGGGAATGGGCAGACAGGGGGATTGCTGGGGTTTTTGGCTTCAGTTGAATTGGTAAG